CTCAGTTCATAGGATGCATGCCCTTTGACCTTTATGCGAGAACCTCAGAGCCAAAAAGGATGTTTATGTAAATCATGTCCAATCCTCTTATTTTACTAAGAATTTGAAATCCAGAGAAATTCAACATTTTGCTCCAAAGACCATGAATTAGTGTTGTAGCCTGGCCTGGAACCCAGATTTCCTTGCACCCAGTCTGGTCTCCCCTGAGAGGCCAGTGTGGGTCACCAGAAAGAGAGGTGGGGTGGGGTCTGAGCAGATGACAGGGTAGGTGTGTGCAGTGGGTTGAGGAATGTCATCTCTGAGTGACTGGGACTGGGTGCCAGGGAGTGGGGAGGCGGATGGGGGAACAGGAGCGCAGAAGGGACCTGTGATGCTTCCGGGGACTTGGACCACTCTGAGGTTGAGGTCCTTAGTCTTGTTCACATCTCCAGGACTTCCTGCTGTTTTTTACCCTGTGGAGAGTTTATTTGGGGTTTCAAGGCTTTGGCACACACCCAAAGCTGGACAAGAACCTTGCTAACTCCTTGGGAGCACCAGGTATTTGTGGATCCAGAGGGATTAATAGCCCAAGGGAGGCTGGGGTCAGACTCCTGGGGGTCTTCTGTGAACTACAGATAGAAAGGCAACTGAGCAAGGCTTCCTGAAGGACTACTCACTTGGGGAGAATAAAACCAGCAGTCCAGGCCAAGGGGGGCAGTTTGTGAGTGTGTGTGCAAATACAGATGCAAAACAGTTTCCAGATCAGCAACTAACCCTGCTTGCTGTCGGAGGGGTTGGGAGGGAGGTGGAGTGCAGCTTGTGTGTGTGGGGATGGGGGTGCTGATGGCTGTTTTTCTAAACATGTGGGAGGGAAAAAAAAAAACACCTCGAATGTATCTCCAAGAGGTTGAAATGTGCTTGGCATAGGATAATGCTCTCTTTATTCTTAATCTTGGCTGAGGTCATAATTAGAATTTTGTCTACTTTTAGGCTTAAGTACAGGCAGGGGAGGGTTCAGAGCCTCACTATCCAGTAGGAATATAATGTGAATCATGTATGTAATTTAAACTTTCCTGGTAGTAAAATGGAATAAGTGAAATTAATTTTTTTTAAGATTTTATTTTTATTTATTTGAAACAGAGAGAGACCACAAGTAGGCAGAGAGGCAGGCATAGAGAAAGAGAGGAGAAAGCAGGCTCCCCGCCGAGCAGAGAGCCCGATGTGGGCCTCGATCCCAGGACCCCGAGATCATGACCTGAGCTGAAGGCAGAGGCTTAACCCACTGAGCCACCCAGGCGCCCTAAGTGAAATTAATTTTAACAGTGTATTTCATTTAGTCCAACATAGCTACTATAGTATTTAAACTATTAATGTAATTATATGGTAGTATATAATCAATCTAATTATTAGTGATATAGTTTACATTCTACATTTTGTGCTAAGTTTTTGAAATCCAGTTTATATTTTTACACTTACAGCACATTTCATACTGGCCATATCTCAAGTGTTATTGGCTACCATATTAGCATAGGTTCAGAGGAAAAGATATATAAAGCTGTACACAGTTAGAAATGGGGCCGGGGGAGGTACACCTGGGTGGCTCAGTTGGTTAAGTGTCTGCCTTCGGTTCAGGTCATGACCCTGGGGTCCTGGGATCAAGCCCTGCATCGGGCTCCCTGCTCAGTGGGGAGCCGGCTTCTCCCTCTCCCTCTGTTGCTCCCCCTGCTTGTGCTCACTCTCTAAAATGAAATAAAATAAAATAAGATAAAATAAAATAAAATAGAAAATGGGGCCAGGGAAAGAAAAATAAATGCCTCAAGGAAAAAAATCTGAAGGTAAATGGCCTTCAAAGTGAAGGACAAATCCCTGCCTCAGATATCAGTGGTCTCCATCTCTCCTGAGGGTCCACATTGCCACACAAACCCCCAATCAAAAACTGGTTTCTATCCCAACTACATGATATGTTTGATTTAAATGTAAGGAATGTATTTCAAACAAGGAGAAGTTGAACCTTAGGTGATAGGATAAATGTTTATCTTGCTCTTGTCCTTTCTTCCACAAACTGTGGGTAAGGAGTCCAATCATCCTTACCTCTCGGGGATGACTGAAGTTTGTACTAGATGTCAACTTTGTCTAGATGTGAAGGCAATGATAGCGATTATCCTCTGATTTGCATATGATCTGAAACCAAGGAAGGTATTAGCTGGGTCAGTATCCCTTCCAGTACTGTGCATCCTTAAGTTAAGGACTGGACCATTTCTGTTACCACACACTGTACCTTTTACATAAAGAAAAAGTATTCAGGAAGAGAAGTGACCTATTGTCACAAAGGGCAGAAGCTAGGTGTTGCTGTGGTCTTAGCTGTCCCAGTGGGACTCAAGAAGAAAGTGGTGTATGTCACTTAGACACCGAGCACTCAGTATACAGTGACTTTGTCCCCTTGTGCAAACTTCATGCTTCCTTGAGCCTTAAAAGTCCTTTTCCACCTTCTCTAAGTCAAAGGGTTAATGTAAAAGTCAGATGAGGTCATGGATCTCTATGTGCTTTGAAAGCTGGGAGTGTGTGTTTGTTTTTAAGTGCTTTGCAAAAAAGGGCTAATAATATATTCGGGTCCTTTTTAACATATCTGATGTACCAAGCCTCTCTTAATCAACAAATATTTGCTTGGTGATCAAGTCTAGTCACTCCTTGGAGATTAAGTTCACTGAAAGATGCTACAGGGCTTCTGTAAGCTTTGGCTACCATGTGTAGAGATGGTCCACATCCTCTTTCTGTTCTGCATTTGACCTGAGGTCATTAGGCCACAGGACACAGTTTGGAAATATTTTGGTTATTATGAGAACTTTCATTTCCATGAGGTGTGACCCACATTCACCAGTCTTGGCACATTCCAGCCAAAGAATCTCAGTGAAGGATAATTAAGGTCCCCTACAGCCTTGCTCTCCCAGATTGATCTGTGGGCCAGCATCAGAGGCATCATCAGCAGAAATGTAGTCTTGAGGGCATGTGCTGGAATGACAAGGGGTGTGATATAACTGATGAATCACTGACCTCTACCTCTGAAACTAATAATACACTATATGTTAATTAATTGAATTTAAATAAAATTAAAATAAAAATTTTTAAATGTAGTCTCAGGATGCATCCCAGGTGTGTCCACTCAGACTCTGCCTGTTAACAGGGCTCCAAGCTGATAGCAGCACACACAAAGGGTTGAGAAGCCATCCCCCGACAGCATCCCACCGAGTGATAGCACAGTGGCTAGGATTAGCTGCTCCCTTCCTCTCCAGGCAGCCCTTCTACCGAACAGCTCAAACTTCTGGAGTTTTCCCTCCTGTCAGAGTACATTTCCTTCTTCTGCCCCGTTAAAGCCCACATAGCAAGTGCTTGGAAATACTGTTACTTTGGTGATGACCTGAGATCAAGGAAGGGATTACACAGAAGCCTCGATCCAGAGGCTGGATGGGTGGTGATTGGGGCCACACAAGGTCACCTGGCAAAGACCAGCAGGTCCTGAGATGTTAGAGAGGAACCCTGAAAAGGCCTCTGGCAGGTCTGGCTCCTCCTTTACTCCTGCCAGAGTCCAGGGTTTAAAGGATTGGCGTCTTGAAGTTTAGAGAACTTGAAGAGGTTTCCCAAAAGGACAGGAATACAGAAGTGATGTCTGGGGTGGCATTTGGTCCTGTGAGACATGCTAAAGGATGAGGCCATTTACAGAGGAGATGAACATGAGGGGATGGTGTGGTGACACACGAGGGCTAGCCCAGCAGCTTGACCTCTTGCTAGCTTTACGGCATTGGAGCATGCCCCAAACTCCCCCTCCCCCAGCATCAGCTTCCTGGGTTTTAAAATCAAACAGAATGATAAACCCTGTTCTGCCTATCTCCAGGGTTTCTGTGGGACTCGTGGAAAATAATACCCGTGAGCACTCTTAATGACGTGAGAAATGGTCTAAGGATGAAAGGTACAGTGGGACAGTAGATGAATCCAGAAGACAGATCTACCACTGACTTGCTGTGTGACCTCAGGGGAGGCCCTGGGCCTCTCTGTGAATCAAGTGGGTCATATATAAAAGATCTGAGTGTCCTCCTAGAAGGCCCCAAGTTACCAGGGCTTGTTGCTATTGGTACACGTTACCTAGAGGGTTTTTCCAAGAAGCATGGCTCTTCAAGTACCTATTTAGGGAGATTTCTTAGAGCTTGGAATTGAATCCTTTCTCGGGGAGATGATTCCAGACACTCTTCCTAGCCTATCCTGTGGGAGACCCACTTTAAAAATGGGTCTGCCTGGCCATAATTGCACCTGCGTTTCCATGTCAGCAGGTGGTAGCTGAGCCAGTGGGTGAAGAGTGATGGTTTCATTTCTGCAGCTGTGTCAGGACACCCCGTCCTATTTGTGGAAGCAAGCTCTGCCCTGTGAGATATCTGAACTCCTACCTGGGTGGAGGGTGTCCTGTGCAGACTTCTCCAGGGGAACAGTCTTTTTGGATACTTCAGATATCACCAAGGAGTTTATCAGAAGCATTTCTGTTTGTTTTCATAAGTACGCAGATGTGGCATACCTGTTAGTTTTATGAGCCTGCGTTGCCAGCGGAGGCTTCCAGTCAGCAAGATAACTGAAACTGGCTTTGGTGCAGCAGCCCCTCCGCAGATGCTCGCCAGTTGAGAGCAAAAGGACCAGTGTGTGTGTCTGTGGAGGCTCCTAACTGTTCCCTAAGGCAGCCCTTCTGTGTCTCTCTCTCCTGCCGGTCTGGGGACCCTGTGTTCATGCTCAGCTCGCTGTGCTCATATCCCTAACCTCCCATTCCAGTGCCTGGATGCTTGCTTCTAATTCTGTACATTGCATTTTCTCCTGTGCGCCCACCGTGTTGTCATGGAAACTCAATGGCCGTAGGCCATGAGTCTCCTGCGTCATCGAGTGTGATGGTGTGGTACGTGTATTTGCTCACACTTTTATTTTGAATCCGTTCCAATGTGACATCTGCTAAAATGTCTCCCTTATAATTTGCTTGGTGATCACAGCCTTCTCATCATTCATTGAGAGCAGGACCTGATCTCACAGAATCTGAAAAGAGCTATGTGGTAAGATGCCTGTTGAATAAGACCGTAGCTTTCCTAAAGAGAATCCTTACTGACTTCTAGAGTCTCAGCTGGAGTAATGCCTGGCTAACTCGCAGAGCCACTATTTGTGAGAGTTATATGGCTCTTGTCCCAGAGGGAAATGTTAGGCCCACCCCTTCCCTCTCAGAGAGCAGAGGAATTTAGAGACAATATCTGTACTCTGCCTACATGTGGGATGAAAATAATGGTTAGTGCATGATCGGGGAATCCATACTTGCATTTCTATCCTGAAGTTATTCCATTTGTGACAGTTGCTCACTAATTATAGGCTTTTATGCTGCTGCCTTTTTTTTAAATATTCATACTAAATTCCAAATTCTTCTGTATCTTACCTGTTTTTTCCATGCTTACACCTGGATCCCTCCTGCACTCCACTACTGGAATATCTATTTTTTTTTAACCTGGATCTTCAACTCTGTTGTTTCCCTGGACTTATGTGCTTCGTCTGGAATGTTACATCTCTTCCTCTCTCTTTTTTTTTTTTTTTTGTTTTTTGTCCCCATGTTGACTGTTTATGGGGGTTTCTGGATATCGGGGCCACTCACAGGAAGCAGTTTGCAATGAGATCATAAACATTGCCGAAAAATCTGTTCATTACTGCAGCACTGTCTCTCATCCCCTTGACTTTCATCACAAGGTATCCCCTTCTGACAATAAATCATCTTTAATCATTTCTCAGCAACCTCAAGCCCAGCAGCGAAGAGTCACCCCAGATAGGAGTCAAACCTCACAAGATTTGTAAGTACACTTGAACTTCCTTTCTCATGTTTTTTAGTAGACTGTTGGCTTTAAAGAATGGGTCATTGACCAAGTATGGGGCAGCTATCTGGGGGAATGAACGAGTCACCCCAAGCTTCTCTGAGGATTTCTAGTTGAGGCCATGTTTCCCATCAGCCAACATGAAACAGGTGCTGGACTAGTAACTAAAGGAGGTCACAGACTACTGAAAGATAGAGACCAGGAAAGAATGAACTGCCATCCAGGGGCAAATGAGGGTAATGGTGACTCGCTTCAGTCCTAGTATTGTGGGAATATAGAGGAAAGAGTTATTCGTTCTGCCTAGAGGAATAGAGTTGTTCTACTCATTTAAAAAAAAAAAAAAATCATTGAATATCTCCTGTGCTGTTAGCATGTAAGGGTAAACTCCATTCCCAGAAGAAGAGAGATTTGGAATGAGCATTGAAAGACACATTGAAGGAGCCCCTGGCTGGCTCAGTCAGTAGAGCATGCAACTTGATTTCAGGGTCATGAGTTCAAGCCCCATGTGGATGTAGAGCTTACAGAAAGAAAGAGGAAGGAAGGGGGAGAAGGAGGGAGGGAAGGAAGGAGGGAGGAAGGGAGGGAAAGGAAAGAAAAGAAGACAAACTGGATTTGAGAGCTGGAACAGGGAGGTAAAAGGTCTTCCCAGATGAGGAAACCGTACATGCAAAGACCCAGGGTAGATGGTGTGTTTGGGGAACTCAGAGAAGGCCCATGTGGGGAAAGGACTCAACGGAACAGCACCCTAAGCAGCATGAGGCCCATCCAAAATTAGAGCTGATTGGGGGACCCAAGCAGTGAGGTTGTGGGACCTTGGCCCACCTGTCTCCACTATGTGGGAGTGAGGATAGAGAAGCAGGTATCCAGAGTCATCTCCCAGAGCTGAGGTTAGCAAGGCAGCCATCGTGGAAGTGAAGGGGAAGATGAGTCATTCTGAGGAGTCCAAGTTGGATGGACACAGCAGGCAAGTATGGAAACATCAAAAATATTCGCTTTCTAACTGAAAGCTACCTGCAACTCTTCGTGCCTCGTTGCAGACCTTCTTTCTGGTAGTCAGAGGCATCTACTAATTATCAATACACTTGGATAAATGTATAAAATTAAATGGTCCCTTAGTTTTAGCAGAGAAAGTGAACCTCTCCTTCCCGGGGACTGGCTTCTCTTCCTCGTTTCTAGTTTCATTTGCTCACTCACTGGAATTCACTGGCATCTACTGGAAATGGTAGCTGGTTGGCTCATTTGCAGAGTTCTGCCCGCTACTGTTGTGTTTCAGAATAATAATACACAGAATCGTGAAGATGCTTCTTAAGGAATAAGTGAAAACAAACTTTTCCATGTCAGATTTCATCACAAGTAGGGCCAGCATCCTCCAGTGAGCTATTGTCAGGACAGATGGAACAGGACAGATCAGATTGCCTTAAGCCAACTAACAAGTAAATAAAAATCTTACTCCCAGATTTTTCACTGGGATAGAAAGAAAGCAAAAAGCTTTCAAGAATTTTGGGAAAGGGACATCCCATTTAAAAACAATTAACAAGGGGCACCTGGCTGGCTCAGTCAGAACAGAGTTCAGCTCTTGATCTCGGGGTCAAGGGTATAGAGATTACTTAAATGAATAAATAAAAACTTTTAGGGGCACCTGGGTGGCCTGGACGGTTAAGCATCTGGCATGATCCCAGGGTCCTGGGATCCAGCCCTGCGTCAGACTTCCTGCTCAGCAGGAAGCCTGCTTCTCCCTCTCCCACTCCCCCTGCTTGTGTTTGTTCCCTCTCATTATCTCTCTCTGTCAAGTATATTAAAGAAAAATCTTAAAAACTTTAAAAAAGGGACACCTGGGTGGCTCAGTGGGTTAAAGCCTCTGTCTTCGGCTCAGGTCGTGATCTCGGGGTCCTGGGATCAAGCCCCACATCAGGCTCTCTGCTCAGCAGGGAGCCTCTTCCTCCTCTCTCTCTCTGCCTGCTTGTGATCTCTGTCTGTCAAATAAATAAAATCCTTAAAAAAAAAAAACTTTAAAAAATAAAAACAATGAAATATGTATTAGCATATTAAGAAACTCAAGGTAAGCAATTGGTATGTACTTTTTATATCTTTATATCAATATACCTATATATATGCATATATATAGAAAAATTTTTTTATGCTCTCCAATGTGTATGACCAGAATATAGTATCTATCTCTGGACCTAAGTTACTTCTTCTTCTTTTTTTTTTTTTAACTTCTGATTGTCCCTGATGATCTACATACATTCTTCTATGTTAAGAAAAAGAAAAAACTTTGGTTAACTTTAAAGAGGGGGCATCTGGGGTGACTGGGTGGCTCAGTGGGTTAAAGCCTCTGCTTTCGGCTCAAGTCATGATCCCAGCCTGCATCTGGCTCTCTGCCCAACCCCCCGCCTGCCTCTCTGCCTATTTGTGATCTCTGTCAAGTAAATAAATAAAATCATATTTTAAAAAAATAGAGGGGGAATCTATGGGACACCTGAGTGGCTCAGTGGGTTAAGCCTCTGCCTTCAGCTCAGGTCATGGTCTCAGGGTCCTGGGATCAAGCCCTGCATCGGGCTCTCTGCTCAGCAGGAAGCCTGCTTCCCGCCCCCACCCCCACCTGCCTTTCTGCCTGCTTGTGATCTCTGTAAAATAAATAAATAAAATCTTTAAAAAAAATAATAAAGTGGCAGGATCTAAACAAAATGTTTAGCTCCTGTAACTAAAGGAAACTAAATAAAAGGACTTGTCATAATCTTACTCGTCAGAGGCTCCCCATCCCTAGCAGTCTTCATTTCCTTATTCTATGCTGAGTGGATCTCCCCAAAGTCTACCCTGCCAGGGAAGTAGCCAGTAAAATACTTCCATCCCCACTGATGAGTATGAAACACTACCCATGTGTTGGTTTAACTGAATTGGGCTTTAAAAATTCATTATTTGAGGGACGCCTGGGTGGCTCAGTTGGTGGGACAACTGCCTTCGGCCCAGGTCATGATCCCGGAGTCCCAGGATCGAGGTCCGCATCGGGCTCCCAGCTCCACGGGGAGTCTGCTTCTCTCTCTGCCCTTCGCCTCACTCATGCTCTCTCTCACTGTCTCTCTCTCAAATAAATAAATAAAATCTTTAAAAAAAAAAATTCATTATTTGATCCTGTCAATGTTTGAATTAATGTCTCTCATTTTTAGGTTTAGCTACCAAGCATTGTATAGCTATATACCCCAGAATGATGATGAATTGGAACTCCGAGATGGAGATATTGTTGATGTCATGGAAAAATGCGATGATGGATGGTTCGTTGGTAAGTGATCTCCTCATGCTTTTCTTACTAGTTGTGTATTGAAGGAGTAACTAGGAGCGACAAGCCACGCAAAAGGCAGTCCTCGCTGCACAGAAAACAGAGCCTTCTCGGATCGGGGTCTGCTGTCGGGCGTACTGGGTCACCCACGTTTTGCTTGCTCTGAAGACCATGCGGGTGACAGTAATGGTACCGGACCCAAAATCCGAACATGCCAGTGCAGCTGTACAGGAGGGCAGTTGTCAGATTACTGGAGTTCTGTTTGTATTTCTGTTGTGCATTTTATCTGTTCTACATTTGAAAATTTTATTTATTTTATACTCTTAGGAAACAACACAAGAGAATTTGAGCATAGGTCTCAACCGTGAAACTCAAGCGTATGTGTAGACATTCCAAAGACTTTATTTACTTATTTACAGGCTTCCCATAACTTTAATCAAAGCAACCTGCTTAATTAAAACAAAAGATTCACCATTAGAGAACAGGAGAAAGATCAATATTTTTTGAGATTTTACTACAAAGCTTATACTTGCTCAATATACTTTGTTATTGAAGTTCTCGATAAACAGCCCATGACACAAGAATTATCTTGAGTTCACAGACTCAGAAACTGAAGCCCAAAGTGGTGACATAAGTATCCCGGGTCACCCAGGTAGCCAGTCGTGGGTCCAATACTCAGATTCAGGAGTATCTGTCCCCAAGCTTCTGTTCTTTCTCCTCAGGCACAAATATGCTCTTGGGAGCCACTGACTCACTTTTTGCCTCTGTTTTCCCCTTGTACAAATGGCTTTACCTTTTTTCCTGATCTCTCTGGAAAATCCTTGTTAACGTGTAGTCCTCTCAGGGCTGGGGTAGTGAGAATGGCAAGGCCACAGCAGACATGGGAAGCCAGAAAGATTTGCCTGGGACTCATCGGCCTCTTAGAAAGCTGCCCCATCCTCCCCAAGCCCCCAGAAGCCTGTGGCCCCTCAGCATCCTCGAACTGCTCTGATCAGAAGGATGTCAGGTCTGCGAAGTCAGCAACACTCCAATGGAGTGTCGTCAAGCCGTGAATGGAATTTAAAATTTTCTGGAAGCCACCTTAAAAGAAGTAAAATGAAACCCGTGAAACTAATTGTAGGGATATAGTTTATTAACACCATTGCATTCAAAATATTGTCATTTGAAAGTGGAATCGGTATAAAAAATTATTAGTATGAAAAGAAGAATGTGGGGCACCTGGGTGGGTCAGTGGGTTAAAGCCTCTGCCTTCAGCTCAGGTCATGGTCCCAGGGTCCTGGGATCGAGCCCCGCATCAGGCTCTCTGCTCAGCGGGGAGCCTGCTTCCCTCTCTCTCTCTGTCTGCCTCTCTGCCTACTTGTGATCTCTGTCAAATAAATAAACAAAATCTTTAAAAAAAAGAAAGAAGAAAAGGAGAATGTAAACGACCTTCCTCAGCCTTGGAATTCTGATGTGTATTTTGCAGATTGGGCGTAGCTGTTCAGACTGGGCATGTTTCCAGTGCCCGGTCGCCGCCTGTGCCAGTCGTAGGAGAGCACAGCTCTGGTGTAGATTCACTGTTAAACCCCTCCAGGATTATTTACATTTTTTTTTAAAGATTTTATTTATTTATTTGACAGAAATAAATGGGCTGGGGGTAGTCCCGAGAGTGCCTGCCTGGCTTACGACTCAGCATTATTTTGCAGTGTAAAAGAGATAAGACAGGGAAAAGTGCTTTGGAAACCACATGCTGTCCTTCACGCTGCAAGGCTACCAAAGGGCTCTCTCCAGGGGCGCCTGCGTGGCTCAGTCCGTCAAGCCTCAGACTCTTGGTTTCCTCAGATCATGGTCTCAGGGTTGTGGGATTGAGCCCCAAGTTGGGCTCCGTGCTTGATGGGGAGTCTGCTTGGAATTCTCTCTCCCTCTGCCCCTCCCCCCGCTCATGTGTGTGCACTCTCGCTCTCTCAAATAAATTAATTTAAAAAACAACAACAACAACAGAGGGCTCGCTCTGAACTCACGGGTGAGCTTTCTGATTTTGCTTATGTTCTGTTTGTTTTTCTATAGGTACTTCAAGAAGGACAAGGCAATTTGGTACTTTTCCAGGCAACTATGTAAAGCCTTTGTATCTATAAGAAGATTGAAAACCGGAGATTATTTTTTATTGGAGGATGAAGCATAACTCATGAACTGGTCTCTTTATTTAAACGTTGAGTCGGTAGGAAAACTAATGCAGTGGATAAAGTAAGAAACAAAAGAGAGGGACAGAGAAGTATTGTGTCTAAAGCCCGAGTCTGTCTACGCTGACAGCATATCAGGCAAGCCGGACTGAGGAAAAAGGGATGAGGCAAGTCTGTATTTACTTAGCTGCTTCTGGGAGCCACTCCAAGCCTTCCCCGCCTCTCCCCTTCTTGGGTAATCTGACCTGTAACACAGTCCAGGATCAGTGAGGTCAGAAATGCCTCTTGCTGCCCTGGCCTTGACCAGCTCTGGCTCGACGTGGCCATTTAGCCAGAAGCAGCCCTCGGGACACCAGGCAGATCCCCAGCCGTTCTCCAAAGGCTCCGTACCCCAGCCACCCCAGAGCCCACCAGTTTCCCAACGTTGCTGGAAATCTGCTTAGGCAGCCGAGGCCTCCCCTGGACAGTGGTGGAGGCTACAAGGCTCTCCAAGACCATGTGCCTCGTTCCTGGGGAACATGGGGCAATGGAGGGAGCGTGGAGGTGCCCTGTGCACGCTCTGATCCTGCACGCACCATGGCCCTCGACGCCCCTGGTGTTCAGACAGAAAAGCACATGAGGTTTGCTGGTGGAAGTGGGGTGCCCAGGTCAGGTAGTTAAAGTTGTGTTTCCAAATGATGACGTTAGGAAGTTCTGTAGCTGTCAAGGTCGCTTGCGACGTGACCCTTTCCCATATCACTGACTTTTGTAAATGGTCACCTTCGGCACAATTTCATTTACCAGATTGCCAGTGCTAACCTTTCTTTTCTGGATTGTTTTTGGTCAGGGCATTTTGAGGTGGCTAGGCCTATTCTCTCAGAGAACCAGGGATGGCGTTCAGTGAATCGTTGAGCAGACACCATCGCATGCTGGACGCTGGCGCCACCGAGGAGCAGGACATGCCCCATGCCCTACACTCACTGTGTCCTCATTTGTACTCCCCGAAGCAGGTTCAGGAACCGCCCACGAGGTAGTCACCCAGGGTCCCCACCCTGGTGAGGCTTCTTTTCAGAGCAGAAGGCACAGAGGCTGTGGCCCTATGTGCGAGGTAGTGATTCTGCCGCTCCCGGGAGGTCTGTCCTCTGTGGGGTCACGTGGGAGAAAGGAGGCCCCTGTGACACCCCGGGTGCTCAGTCACAACTCCATCCATCTTGAGGATGTTGGTCAGCCTCTCTGTTAGGTCCCTTGAAGAAATAGGGACTGGCCCACCCGCCTGTTGGGAACTCAAAGGTGACGGGAGAGGCAGACACACAAAACTACTGGGTCAAGAGAGACCGTGATATGTGCTGAGAAGGGTATGAGAGAGGAGGAGGTTATCTTTCCCTGGAGAGACTCTAGAAAGCATTGTCGTGTTTCTCTCTCCATGAGCTCACTCTTGAACAACTAGGCTGCTGGAAGAACCTTTGTCTGAGGGTAGTTTATGGCCAGAAATTCTTGGAACTGTTTCCAGAGTCTTCAGACTCTCATCCTCCCTCACAAATACACATCCAAGGTCACAAATAAAAGGAGCATTTCTAGGTAGGTGGGACTGTGTACGGGAATCCTGGCTCTCTGCATATAGCTCAGAATTGCCCCCCAACCATTGTCCCAGAGTCTGGAGTCCTTACAAGGAGGCAGAGTCTGTCTTCAGTGCCTCTGCCTTCTGTCTCTGCCACTCACCTGCCACCCATCAGCTCTGCACCCCTGTGCCCCCATCAGACAGCCTCATTCTCTCCCTGTCCTCCTTTCAAGTCCTCGTCTCAGGAAAGAAAATGCTGCTGACTCCTTCACACTGGAGTGTAAATGACTGAAAAGAGGAATGTGTTAACTTCTTCCTGGAGACATTTGTTTTTAACTAGGACAGAGAAGAGCCTTAACCCCAAGGGATGAGGCTATGGAACTAATGGTGGGGGTAGGGGGGGCCAGTGGTGGGGGAGGAGCTTCCTGGGTAGAAGGAGCCTCTCTGAGTCTTTGAATCAGACTCCCTGCTTTGGAAGGTCCACTTCCCCCGGGGGTGCTGTTTGACTCTCTCTGAGGGAATATAGTGCAAGTGCATATGCACGTGCGTTTTGCACGACAGCATTTCACTCATTTTTGGAATGTAACTCCTATATTGGCTAACGTGTTTCCTGGTCTGTCATAGATGCAAACCATTAATAATAATCTTAATCTAATAGTTCTGTTTTTGTTTTGTTTGTTTTTTTTTGAGGGGTGCTTCTTGATTCAGTAGGTAATTTTGAACACCTCTTTAAATACAGCTAGAAAATAAAACCAATTTGTAAAGCCACATTCACGTATGATGCCAGCCTCACGCATTTGTAGATCTCCAGAAACCCAGGTATGCCTCACTGATTTGCCAGTCTTTAACAAAATCATGTCAAAATTTGCATCAAACTTCAGCTTCCTATGTATGACAAAACGAGAAACCAAGGTTTCCAATTGCTCTTTTGTCCTCAGACATTTAGTAATATAAAATACCTATTTTTATGCGAGATATTTATACAGGTTTATTAATAGCAAGCGCAACTAACTGGCACCATGCCTTGCAACACATTTTGATATATTTGCCATGCTTCTGGGTAAAGGCAAGCCCCAGCTACTTACTTTTGCAGTCTCTCTCGGATCAGTAAAAGAAAAAAAAAATCATATGCGTAAGAAGTAGGACTGTAAATATGTATATTTAACTTTGTATAGCCCATGTACCTACTTTGTATAGAAAAATAATTTTAAAAATTTGAACTGAAGGGGGGTAAAATAAGGAAGTCATGAAGTTTTTTGCATTTTTATTTAAATGAAGGAATTCCAAATAATTCACCTGCAGATTTTTAGCACAAAAATAGCCATTGTAAAGTGTTAAAATTTCCAATAATCATTCTTTCTGGGAGAGAAGGTCATTGTTATCTCAGTTATAGGTTTTTTTGTTTTTTTTTTTTTAATTTTGTTTTTGATTTATTTTTTGCAGTCCTATTTATCTACAGTAGGTATAAGTTCTTTTGCTAGAATAGGTCACTACAGAGAAGATTATATTCTGAGAGGAAAAATAACTGACATTATACATAACCAATTAATTTAAAGTGTTGCCATTTTAATCACACACAGAGAGCATGTACTATGCCGAAACAGATTGTTCTCTTCATTTATTTTCTTTATTGCCGTGGATCGATTTGATAAATGGGTGTGTTGAGATACTACATTTGCTGTATGTATTATTTAATAAACTTTATTCAGAATTGCGTGGCATATGTTTGTTCTTACCATTCATTGTTTCTTTCCTTCCTTCGCCAAGTTTCTCAGGGGAGGCTTACATTCACGGCTTCAACATCACATCCTCTCCTTTTCCCTTCTTAATCACATACCATGTGGCTTTGCTCCTGGAAGACCTCACTTCTTACCTTACTCCTTTCTCAATAAGCTAACTCTGTGACCTTCTCTGAATTGGCCGCTGTTGACCATCCCACCGTGCTTTCCATTCTGATGACAAAAATAATGTGTCTTTAAGAGCAAAAGTAAAACCTTATGGGGGCACCTGGGTGGCTCAGCTCAGGTCATGATCTCAGTCCTGGGATCGAGCCCCGCATCAGGCTCTCTGCTCAGCGGAGAGTCTGCTTCCTCCTCTCTCTCTCTGCCTGCCTCTCTTGTGATCTCTGTCTGTCAGTTAAATAAATAAATTAATTAATTAATTAATTTTTTTTTTAAGGGTAAAACCTTATAAAATGTGTGCAGCGGGTCTTGATTTGCTCCTCAAGACATGGGTATGGAAATGATACAGCATTTGGTTTTTCTAAATGGAGTTAAATCAGCTATGCACCTTCTCTTGCTTTGGTGGGTGAAAATGCAGCCTGTCCCCTCGCAAACCAAGTGTGTGAAGATGGCAGCATAGGCATCCAGCCTCCCCTGGCATCCCGTGGCTAGGACCACTCCCATCTCTGTGGGGTGGGGCCTGCTGTGCACAAAACCAAACCTCCCCCTTCCCGTGGTTCTGTCCTTCTCCACCTCTGTCAACTTAGCACTGCCACCTTTTGGGGGTGACTCTGTGGCATCCCTCTTGGTGGGCTTAGACGTCTAACAGGGGAGAAGCGTTGTCTTCCAGGGGTCTAACAGCCTCAGGACTGAGCCTGGGGTCACAGGCACTACTTTCAGGCCACTCATCCCTTCCAGCAAATCCATCAGCTGTACTTTCAGAGGACGTTTAGAACCCAACTTTGTCAAGCCATTGGCACTAGAATCCAAGCCATTTTCTCTCTGGGTCCTTGTAGTCACTTTCTAACTCGCCTTCCTACTTCTGCCCTTGCTGCCTCTACTGTGGTCTTAGGAGCAACCAGAATGATCATTTTAAAGTCTAACCAAAACCCTCTAAGGGCTTCTTACATCACTGAGGGGTACCATGGCCTCAGGTCCATTGGTACACTGTCCCACCCCCTCCCTTACCTCTGGCTTCATTTCTTCTTCCTTATGGGCTCAGACTCATCAAGCACCCTTCAAGTTCAGGATCTTCCATCTGTCTTCTGTGCCTGGAAGACCCTTGCTGCTGAAGCTTTCTTCATGGCTTTCTTCCTCTCTTTACATCTTTATGTTGCCTTCTCAACAAGGCTTTCTCTGACCACTTTATGTATAAGAGGACCCTACTGTTTCCACCCAGCATCCTGTCCCCCTTTTCTTCCTCCGTGCTTCATAACTCATCAGCATCTGATCATTTGTTTCACAATCCTGTAAAATGGTTATTGATTCCATTTGGCTTTTATGTGCCCAGCACCAAGAAGAGTGCCTAATATAGTTGGCACTCAGTCACATGATCAAGTAAATGGATAAGTAAATGAACCCCTGGGGCCAGAGATCTTAGAACTCACAATACTAATAAGGAAGGAAGGGATGTGTTATCAGTCCTTTTTCTTATAGCAGCAGACATAGAACAGCAATTAATCTCAAATTATTCTAGACTCGTACAAACAACAGGTGAGAATTTTCTGTAATTACAGTCACCTCCCCACCGAGATTACTACAGTTGACTACCCTTTGTATGGTCCTCTGCGCTTTCTTTGCACAGTACACACACACACACACACGTCTATAAACAAAAGCTTTGCATAGTCTTATACACTCCCCCCCCTTAACAATAGAGCTTGGACATGTTTCCATAATTTACTTAACCAATCCCCTATTGATGCAAACATTGCCAGCTTTTCCCCCCACAATAAACAATGCTGCATTGAATACAATTATTGGCTCAAAGAGCAAGAACATTTCAAATCTTGAGATACTGCCAAATTGCTTTCCAAAGTGTATCACATCGGTTTATACTCCCGCCAAGCCCATGGGAGTGTCTGTTTTCCCACCACCCAGTCATCTGCTTCCATGGAAAGCTGTTCCTTGGTTCGTCTGCCTTTTCGCTGGTCAGCCCTCTTTCTAGATCTTTACTTGCATTCCCAGCTGTCTTATTTTCTTTTAACACATGCTCCTTCAGGGAGTAGATCCCTCACAATGTAATTTGGCGGAAAGAGTCAGTTGTCTGAGGGCTCCCGTCAATGATAATTGGTAGAAACCTAACACCACTGGCCATTCTTGGGTCAAGTCACTGGAAAGAAGGGAGTTGGAACCAGCCTCAGGCAGGAGTGAATCCAGATTCTCAAACTCTCGTATTTGTCTTGTTCTTGGCACTGTTGACTTGTTTGGCTCCATTTTCACCTACCGACTGCTGCAGTAGGAAACATGAGCTGTAGGCAGCTCTGGGCTCATTCTTACAGGTCTCTGACTCCCTTTTCTAGGGAAAAAGGCCTTCCCGTTGCGCTACCCTGAAAACAATTCCAGACCCTGCCAGGTCCAACTTGGATGGTCGTCCTTTCTTTGACTAATCGCTGGCCAAAATGGGTGTAGTATGAGTGATAGCCTCACCGACATCATGTGGACTGGGGGAGAGGAGGAGGCCAGGGGAGGGGTGTGCGGCTCTAAGAAGGAAGAAGGCATCTGAATCGATAACTCAATGTTCCCCTGTGCAAGCACCGCTCCGAACGTTACTGTGACAAGCTTTGGAAAATGGCATACCATTGCCCTCTCAGTACAAATGCCCGTGAGCTGAATGCAGGCTGTGTGCTGAAACTCTTTAGGCCAAAGTCTTGAGAAGAACATGGTGGAGAGCACAAGATGACCCCCCAGACAAGGGGTTTGATGTGACCCTGAGGGAATGGCACGACTGTATCACATGCTAAAAATACTAGGACTCCTCTGAAGGAAGAAGGATTAGCATCTCAAAAGTCATGAAGAATGTTTGCATGAGTTGTACCCAAGTTTTTTTGCCAGGTCTTGGCATGTTGCAATCAAACCTGTCTTGGCTGAGGCCCTTCAGACAAATGAAAGGAGTTACTACTACCACAAGTCATGTGTGGCATGGATTAGCCAGGCGGGAGGTTTGGATTGAACATACTCAAGAAAATTGACGATGAACCCATAGATGGAAGAGCCTGTGATGAGCCACCCGAATGCCACGTGATGCTGGTTTATGCTGTCTGTCCTGGGGCACGAGTACTCTGCTCCTCTAGCACTCTTACCCTGACATCAGCAGAGGCAAAATACTGGGTACATTAAGAGTCTCTGGCCCCTCTGGCTTACTGGTTTTTAAAGTGATACCAAAAGGGGTGCTTGCCTGGCTCAGTCAGTGGAACATGCGACTCTTGATCTCGGGGTCATGAGTTCAAGCCCCGTGTTGGGCATGAAGGTTCCTTTTTTAAAAAACGAAACTGACGAACTTAAATGAATCTGTAAAAAAGAGAATCGTCTTCTAGACAGTAGCCTAAATCACATAGATTGACATGACCTTGTGTCATCAAGGTCACTGGATCTCCAAGGGTGTCCCGTGGGCCTGTTGGAGTCCCTAGGCCCTTTCAGCAGATTTATAAAGCCAAAACTGTCTTCATAATAATGCCAAGATGCTCGTGGTAGCCAGCTTCCACGAATACCTCTGGTGATCCCTACCTCCAGTATTCAGTTGGTTAAGCATCTGCCTTCAACTCAGGTCTACTCGGGTCCCAGGATTGAGCCCCATATTGGGCTCTCTGCTCAGGGGGAGTCTGCTTCTCCCTCTCCCTCTGCCATCGCCTGCCCACTCTCTCTTGATTGTCTCTTTCTGCCTCTCAAATAAATAAATGTTTTTTAAAAAGAAGTTCTAAGACCTAGTTGTCATATTGGATAAATGTGCTAATTCTTCCCAAAGGGAGAGCCATTACAACACTGGGCTGGGAGTCAGAAGACCTCGGTTCCTGTGCTGCTTCAGGTGCTTCGGTTGTGAGACCTCAGAAACACCACTCCAGTTCTCTGGGCTGGGGTTTCCTCACCGGGGAAGGGGAGACACCTGGACCAACATGGTTTCTGTTACGAAGGAGAAAAAGGACATGATGTTTGAAAGGCAACCTACAGTGCCCAACCAGAGGATTCCTGTTCCTCCAGTGTCTACTCTGTCCCAGCATTTTTCATGCATTTTCTCATTTACTTCTCATACCAACCCTGATCTCCAGTAACAGCTGAGGCACTTGAGACAGAGGAGTTCAGCTCAAGGATATCTGGCATGTAACAGGTTTCGGTCTGACTCCAAAGCCGGTGTATTTTCCACTGATCGCACCCTGCTTCCTCCAAGCCAGGACAGACAGCCGGGACAGACAGCTGGGATGAGTCTGCAGACCAGTATACCTCAGAATATTGACACTTCACCTAAAGATTATAACATCTCCAAGAATGCCCTCACGGAATAATGCTAACAGTGATAACCATTTGATGAGCACCTACTATATGCTTAAACATTAAAAGTTCAAAAACAGGTCGATTTCCTCAGTCTTCTGCCAGAGCCAAGATAGCAGCAAAGACATGGAAGAAAAATTCAGGTGCCCCCGCCGATTCCATGTCATCTTCTCTTCTACCACTCACGAGCCTCTCCAAAGTGTGGTCCAGCCTCGGTACTCAGACTTCCTCACCACACCCACCCTTTGTCACCTGCACTGCAGCTCCCCTATGTAGTGTTACAGATCTGCCAAGCTCAGAGCCCCCCGCCTAAGAATTTGTACTCCATATTATCTATCGGTTAAGAATGTCTTCAATTACAATAGCAGATGGCCCCCAAATGGGACAGCTTATGTGACAGATGTGTCTCATTATCTCACAGAAAAGAAGATGGGCTCTAGTTAGTCTATCTGACTCCCCTGGCCTTTCTCTCATGATGCTAAACTGGGTGGCACGGCAGCTCCAAGCATCTCATC